CATATTGTGATGGCCGAATTTTAAAATTTAATCCTCCATGAGTGTGATCTTCCAAGATTTCCCATAAGTATGCTTGCATTAACAAACTTTCGGATGATAAAATATGTTAGCTTGGCAATGTAGTATATCGAATTGCAAGGAACCGAGCTTTTGGCTTTTTGTTTAGGGACTTACTATCCAAGTTGAGCTAGTCAGTTTGATGGTAGCTTGTTATGGTTGTGGTCCAACTTTAGGGGAGGAAAATACCATTTTAAGGAGAGGTCTTAGTTTGTCCTTGGTGGCGAGGCACAGGCAATGCATTTAGATTCTGCAATCTGATGTCATTGTTGTATTATGAGCTAATTTGGTGTTAGTATATGTAACAAAAAACTTGTTTAAATTACTTCAAAAAAGTGGTCTTTGAAGGCTTTCGACTCGGTGGTTTAGTTTTGTAGAATATGCTGTTAGTTCACAGGCAGTTGGTGTATTGACAAGCTTTACCTGTCATCTGGAAGATGGTCCTGTGACCCTTAAGTTGCACTTGTTGAAATCTAAGATCTAATATCATTTTTGATTTTTCTACTTTGTCCTGTTGATTGATACTGTTGAACTAATGCACAGAGAAGCTCTGTTAGTTTTAATTGAGGTGGCTTTCTTTATGCTGCATCATCCAATGAGAATAAAAGTCTCTAACAAAACGCACTACTACATATATAGGCTGGTATGATTAATAATGTAACATAGGTCTGTTTCCTTCATGGTCATGGTTTGTGAAGAACAGTTCCCCGTTTAAGCAGACTTTTAACTTGTTTAGATTGTATCACTGATTTTGTTTATGTAATCTACATATATGTGTTTACCTTGATTTTGGACATCTGATTAAAATCTCATGTTTTTCTTACTTCAGCTTCTACATCACCCTTTATTTTTGCAATTCTTGTTGATTTCTGGAAGGTCAGTGGACCCTTTTTCTTGTATATTAGACTGGTTTAGTTTCAACCATTATACAATATATCTAGCTAACCCACCAGACCCTATGGTTATTTAATTTCTGTGAATTTTATTTCCTTGAAAAGTTGATTACTTTAGTATTCTTGTGACAGGTTTGGGAATTTAATTTTAATAAGCTAAGATGTCTTCTCCAAGCAAGCGGAGAGAGATGGATGTCATGAAGTTGTAAGTTGTTTGTTACTATAATACCTCTAACCTTAGCATTCTGTGTTTCTTAAGGTTGGATTTCTCCCTTTGGTTTACCAAATGGGTATCTACAGTCTCTTTGGTAGATGTAGAATCAGGTTGCTAACTTCATCTCTGGTATGATATAAAGGTTTGGAACACTATTTCTAATGCTTTTGTTTTCCTTTCTTTTCTCAATGATTTTCAGGATGATGAGTGACTATAATGTGGAGACAATAAACGATGGGCTAAATGAATTCAATGTGGAATTCAATGGTCCAAAAGAAAGTATTGTCTGACACCCCTGCTTATAGGCCTTCATTGCATAGAATTTCATATGTGTTTATATGTGGGGGCATTAGGCACGTTTAACTGAATTTGGTATCTTTATTGCCTTGTGGTAACTTTATTGCAGTTTACTCTTAGATCAGAAATGCGTTTTGCTTCTTATATTTCCACTAGGCTTTTCATCAGCTGAAGCTCTTGGCATTGTTTTATGTGTCATTCTTTTGGTAAACTTTAGTCTCTATGTGATGATATGGTTGCAGGCCTTTATGAAGGCGGGGTTTGGAAAATCCGTGTTGAGCTTCCTGATGCTTATCCATATAAATCTCCATCTATTGGCTTCATGAACAAGATTTTCCACCCGAATGTTGATGAGCTGTGAGTATTCTTCAGTTTTAGGATCAATTTTACCTCACGTTTCATCCAATTTAATTATTCTCTAGGAACTTTTAATTATTGCTACCAGTGGCATGCCGGCAGATTGGGTCTAAAAAAGGCGGAAGTATAAGTTTATTTAGAAATTTAGATGCTGTAATACTGCTGTTGATTATCAAATGCTTGAATAAGTCTGTGGTTTTGACAACATAGTTTCTAATTTATTTCTTTTGCAGGCAGCAGGACGTTGAGTAATTGTTTATTGGTTATTAACTTGTATGTACTGACTGTTTTTTTATTTCTTTTTTTCCGTAATTGCAGATCTGGTTCTGTCTGCTTAGATGTAATTAACCAATCATGGAGTCCAATGTTTGGTAATTATCATCCTATTTTAGTAAAAATTCTGACCCTTGTTTTCCAATACACTGCTGAAGTGTTGGTTTTGTGTCATTATACTCTCTTCCCTGAGCCGGTGATGTTTCGCGGTTCTATTCTGTTTCATTTTTCTTTTTTCTTTCTTCATTTGATTTTCTTGGATTTCTCACATATATGGTGATGTTTCTTCTTGATGCAGACCTTTTAAACGTTTTTGAAGTTTTCCTTCCACAACTGTTGCTTTATCCAAATCCTTCAGATCCACTCAATGGTGATGCAGCATCATTGATGATGAAGGACCGAAAACTCTACTGATCAGAAGGTCAAAGGTAAAACTTCATCTGCAATTAATATCCCTTCCTTTCAGTTATGTGCTTAAACTAATGAAAAACAATTCCTAAATTTTTGAAACTTCACCACAAACTCTCTCACAAATAACATAGGGATATTAGGAGATGGACCTTCCAAAGATGAGCCTATGTGTGAAAAGAGCTCTTTATTGTAATTAGATAGTTCCATACCCTCCCTACTTTTTCTTGGTTCCTTTGACCGTGTCTGGAGTTGGAATCCCAGTATCGTCTCGTAGCTGTGAGTGTGACTTCTGCAAGATGGTCCACGGACGATGACTTCACTAATTACTAGTCTATCTCCGGTGCCTTGTTCATTGCTTTCGGACTAATACTTGCTTACAAGATTCCACTGAATTTTCATAGTAAGCTAGTTGCTTCCGCTTCAAAGATGTTACACGGAGTATATTTAGAACTTAGAAGCTATTCTTCCTTGGTTGCTACACACAGCATAAGCTAGCGAGAAAATCTTCTATATTCTTGTAGGATTTTTATCATGTAAAGTTTTCTGTTTACATTTTTCCAATTTGATTTGTGGACACAGAGTACTGTGAGCGATATGCAAAGAAGGAGCACATTACCAATACAACACCAGACGAGGAGAGCGATGAGAACATTAGCGATGAGGAAAGCAATTCAAGCGACGATGATATTGCTGGACATGCAGACCCGTAGTGAACTGCAGGTGCATGGGGGGAAACATTATAATCCCCCATTACTCGCTTACGATTTGAATTATGTTTACTACCGATATTTGTACGACTAGATTAAAATTTCTTGTAAAAATTATGAATTGTGTTGAATAATCTGCTTCTGTTGTTGGTTACTGAACTATTTTAATGTTATGAAGAAGCACATTGAATGATGAACATGTAGAAATGATCCAGACACAACTATTTTTTGTGTTTCTTTCAAATTCCTTGAGATGCATATAGACAAACAAAAGCATACCAAGCAAAATGTATAACGTTTGTTTTGGTCGAAAAATAATATTTGAGTTACTCTGTGGACAAGTTAAGTAACGTTGTCTATGATGAACTTGAGGTTCTCTGTTTGGATCTGCCCTCGAGATTTTGTGTTCGGATCTGGATTCAACTCGAGGTTCAATTTTGGGTCTTTACTCGAGGTTGTGTTTGACTCCACTCTCATCGCGTGTATAAAATAGAAATGACTATACTTGGATACATACCATTTCTAAAATATACGACTTATTATGTGACTCAATACTATTGCAACACCTGTCCATTTAATATTCATGATCAAACACCAATTCCACTTTCTAATCATAACCAAACACCTCTTTTTCAGTTTTCGCTTACCTGTGCCGTTGCAAATTGATCAGCCTCATCTTCTTCCATGTCAATCAAAATAAAACCTTGCATGATTCACCGCCACCTTCCTCCCCCGCTGCCATGGGTACCGCGACAAACAAGGGGACGAGTTGGGGGCGGAGTCGACAGAGGTGACAGGGTTGTGTCGACGGAGGAGAAGGGGTGGGAACAACGGAGGCAACACAATAAGGGAGAGTGCTGCCTTTATGTGCCATTTGCCATGCTCATCCATGGTTGACTTGTCTTCAACTTAACCTAGTCGGTCACAAATCACAATCTTATACCTATATTTAAGCAAATTATAAAACAACATTAAAACTAATTGATAGTTACAGCCTTGGCACTTGGAAATTAGTATTGTCTAGTTTAGAAATTAAGAAAGTAATCCGATTTGGAGGGCCTTTACAAGTCTATAACAAACAATACTTGTTTAACATATGTCAATGCTAGGACCAGGTTACCATCGTTAATCCCGGAAAAGATAATACTTGGCTCTTTACATGTAATAAATCATTCTACATTACAAACAATGATAGTTTGATATGTGCATAAACTTTTGATCAGGTTTTAATAAGTGATGTAATTGAGATCCTCTCTGGATTTCTGTGTCTGAAGCTGATGGATCTAAAGATTTTAACTACTTATTTTAAATCTTCTGGTCCTAACTAGTTAAATCCATTGGCCCACGTTACATAAACCAAGAGTCCCATCTCTCTCTTTCTTCAACGGCCCGAATCTTCAAATTCTTGAACTTTGGACATAGAGATCTGGTGAGGATCTCGACTCATAAGTGATATATACATGTGTCCAAACAGTACTGTGATTTGCAAGCAAGTACAAATAACCGTATTCTTTCTAGGAAGGCTATTGAAAAAGACATGCCATCAAACAATTGACCGTTTAAAACTGCCGGCAAATATTCTTTTTAAAATCGGTAGACTTTAGTGCAAATTGTTATGAGCCTTACAAAAACACACAGAAATTTTCAAACTCTCTGTCAGTGTTCATCCAATTGGCACCAAGTGATTCCATCAACAAACTTCAACATTTCCATTTGTTCCTTTCTTCTTGTTCTTGCAATGTCAATCAATGAATCTCACTTCATAAGGAGGATACACCAAATCTGAGAGCCATTTATTTCCCACACAAAAAAAAACACTCTAATTTATACATTAAAAAAAACACGAAAAATGGATCGGATTTCCATTTGGGCACTCGCCATTTTGATCATTCTCGTTATCTTTCCGATGGTGGATTCAGAAGATCAAGAGTGGACTCAGATCAAGCAAGCCCTGGTGCAATTCATGGACAAACTCTCACCGGCCAATGCAGCGTCCAGAGTCGGAAATTGGGGTTGGAACATGAGCTCGGATCCTTGCATAGATAAATGGGAAGGTGTGACGTGTGACAGAAAGAATTCTGTCAAGAAAATAGTCCTCGAAACCTCGAATTTAACGGGAGTTCTTGATGCAAACTCTCTCTGCATGGTGAAGTCTGTTGGTGTTGTGAGCCTGAAGAACAACAACATAACTGGTCTGCTCTCAGAAGACATCGGAAATTGCAGAGATTTAACTCACTTGTACATAAGTGGGAACCACTTTTCGGGTGAGCTTCCGGAGTCGCTCTCGCATTTGAATAATCTGAAAAGGGTTGATATCTCCAGCAACAACTTCAACGGTGTGCTTCCTGATTTTGCAAAGATTTCAGGGTTGATATCTTTTCTTGCTCAGAACAACCGGCTTGATGGGCAAATCCCGGACTTTCATTTCTTCAACCTCAAGGAATTCAATGTCTCCAACAACAACTTCAGTGGCCCTATCCCTGATGTCAATGGCCTATTCGGAAAAGATAGCTTTTCAGGTAATCCTAAGCTGTGTGGAAAGCCACTGCAAAATGAATGCCCTCCTGCAATACCAACTCCCGTAATGCCAAAGAAATCGGAAAAGTCCTCATCCAAAAAGCTGTTACTCTTCTCAGGATGCATAGTTCTTGGCCTGGTTGTTGTTTGCTTCTTTCTCTTCAAACTTGCCATAAAAAAGATCAGACAAGACAAAGAAAAGGGCAGAAATAAAAAGATCACGGCGAATGATGCTGCTAGCACTGTGCCTAGCAATACTATTTCTTCTGGTGAGTTGATGGCTGGTGGTGGTCATAAGATGGCAGAGTACTCGTTATCATCTGTTGAAAGTGGAATGGCTCCACCGCTTGTAGTTCTCACAAGTCCATTGCTGAGGGGGTTGAGTTTCGAGGAATTGCTCCGAGCTCCTGCTGAATTGCTTGTCAGAGGGAAGAATGGAAGCCTCTACAAAATCATGCTTGATCGAGGGGTTAACTTGGTTGTGAAGAGGATCAGGAACAGTGGGATTTCGAGGGAAAAATTCAAGACTCGGTTGACACAAATCGATAAGGTTAAGTGTCGAAATGTCTTACCGGCTGTTGCATTCTACTGTTCCAGACAAGAGAAGCTCCTGGTTTATGAGTATCAGCCTAATGGCAGTCTCTTTAACCTTCTTCATGGTAAGCTAAGCTCGATGTGATCAATTTTTCGCTACTTATATATCTCAAATCTTAAGGCTTGGGGACGTGAAATTTCCTAAAATATAACTGGTTATTGTACTATCCTCTCCACACTCTGTGAATAGGCTTTTCTTACGGCACGTATTTTGTTTACGATCAATAAAGTAAATTTAATCGAATTGTTCATGATTTTTCGGTGTCACACAGAATCTTCAAATGGACAAATATTTGACTGGGGAAGCAGACTAAGTGTTGCAGAAATCATAGCTGAGTCATTGGCATTCATGCACCAAGAGCTACATGAACATGGCATTGCTCATGGCAACCTAAAGTCCAAGAACATTTTGTTCAACACGTCCATGGAGCCCTGCATCAGTGAATACGGAATAATGGAGATCGAAAATCAAGACCAGTCACACCTTTCGCCAAACAGCGGGATTGAAAGTTCGAATGCTGGCCATGCAGGAAGCACGTTGAAGGGTGATGTCTATGGATTTGGTGTGATACTTCTTGAGCTTCTGACAGGGAAGCTGGTGCAGCAAAACGGCTTGGATTTGCCCAGGTGGGTACACTCGGTAGTTAGTGAGGAGTGGACTGTCGAAGTTTTTGACGAGGCTTTGATCCAAGAAGGTGCAAGTGAAGAAAGGATGGTGAAATTGTTGCAGGTAGCAATGCGGTGCATAAATGAGAGGCCAAGTATGAGCCGAGTTTCGGCGATGATCAAGTCGATCAAAGAGGAGGAGGAGAGATCTGTGTCTTCTGATCCATAAAAAAGAAAACATTTCAGAAGTTGCAGCTCACTTGTTGGAGGAATTTGATTTCAAACGTGTTTGTTTTGGGGTTATTAGATGATGATATTGTTATTGACCTTGTCTTTGTGATGAGAAAATTCTAACACGGGGAGATGAAGTCACTGTATAGACCAAAAGGTAAAACAAAATGGACTGATTCAATATCCACAGGAAGCCAACAGGTTCCTCTCCGGATCCTTTTGGTGAGGATCATGGAGATTCGTAAATTGTGTCTGCTCATCGTACATTATGTGGTTAACGATGTACAATAAACGGATATGATTCATAGATTCCCGGAATCCTCACAACGAGGATCCGGATTCCACAGGAAGTCCTAAATGTCTGAATATGTGTCATACAATGTATAACCCTCTACCTTATTGATTGTTAGATTATATGATAAAATAAGAGTCTCACACCATTATCATAATGCTTAATAAAGCACGTTGGTCTGAGAAAATGTATGTAGAATTTTCGATGGTTCCACTTCTAACAACACCGATATTGTTCATAACTTGGTAATTACTATCTGTCCAATCAGTCAGGTATAATGTTTTATCACAGAAGGCCTAAAGGGGACCCACCCAATCATGTGGCAATACAAGCTCGTCCCCTGGCTCTGATACCATGTAGAATTTTCAGAGAGACGGGCCGAGGGCTCCACTACCAACAACAGCGATACTGTTCTCAACTTGGTAACTACCACCTGCCAAATCTGTTAGGTGTAAGGTTTTATCACAAAAGGCATCGATGTTAGTTGGAATAGGGTAATTATATTTAAACTCTTTTTTCTTTCTTTCCCTCACTGCTGGGAGATATTCAACATTATGTGTCATAACTAACCGTATACAATTATACGTCTATCTCTCTCATCACATTATGATGCGAAAACAACTCTAGAATCTCTACTCTGACCTGCTTGCTAAGTGGTTATCAACAAACGTCAGACAAAATTAGTCAAACCAATGGAGGTAGCATTCCAAAAACATGATTAGTCATAATCACCTGTGTTTAGTGGATACAATCATGGATATGATTAGGTGTTAATAATTGCCAGGAAAAGCAAATGTAACCCTACCATTTGATTTTGTCCAACCTCTGAGACTTCTGTTTTGTCATCATTTCAAAGCCAGGAAAAGCTAGTTTGGTCACTGGGGCTCAGACCCAGTACAGTAAGGTGAAAGATTTGCATGGATACATGACTTTTTACCTACTGTTTTTACTTACCCACTTCATATTTACAGCGGTAGATCATTCAGAGTTTCATGCCAGGATTGATGGAAAATTGCCTGATTAGCAGGGAGGATTATCATCATTGATGGGTTAAGGATAATAATTATGATTAATCGTGAGGAAAAAGAAGTCATACTGGTCACTTTTGGACAATCAAAACCGAGTGGTTGATGGACCTCCTTCAGCTTTTCAAATGTATGTGGCATATAGGTCTATATCACTATACATACGAGGGAGACAAGTCTAATGTTTTTCTTAGGTTTGTCTGGGATGAAGCCCTACAGTTTTAGTTCATCAGCTTAAGTAATTTATAGAGAAAAACTTAGTTATCGCAAATCGCATGTCACGTGATGAGAGATAGAGGATAAAATTTTATTTCATACAAGTATTGCATTATGGAAAACTGTAAGCTACTAAAAGAAAATTTTGGACAAGAGGCCCAACCTCGTCTTTGTGTGATCTCACAAGAAAGGGGGATTTTCGCAAGAAAGATGTGGTCGGGCTTCTTCATCCAAGACTTTTTCGGTTGTTAGTCTTGTGATTTTAGGCTTTGTAGACTTTGATTTTTCTTGAGTACTTACAGATATTCATTGCTAACACATATTTAACCGTCGGAATTAAGCTAATAACTTAAACTCAAATTTTTCATAAGTACCTACCGAAACTCAATACCAAGTTACCAATACATAACACATATTTGACGATTAGATTTGATCCAACACCCTAAACTTAAATCATATCCAAGAGTTAAATATGTAGTTGCTCAAGAAAAATTGAAAGTTAATCACAATGGGCTAAAGAGCCTATGGCGTTTTCATTCTCAACAACACACTTCACGCATCACTCTGCAAGTCTTCCTTCTGACACTTCTGTGGCGCAAAAAGGATTCAAATCAGACCGTCCAGACCCCATCATCACCAACCAAAGACCCTCTTCAGTTTCTAGTTCTGGTCTCCATTCTCACCCTTCACATCCAAAGGTAGGTCCTTTCCAATTCTACCACCTCAATAATTCTTCGATAACCAATTTTAAACCTCTCAATTTTCCACAAAACAACATTATCTCTTCACACATATGAGTAATTAATTTGATTAGGTTTCTGGTCTGCATTGCATTCGTACTTCTAGGTGTGAGTACTTTGCTCACCCTTTCCAGCGTCTAATCTGAGGAACCCAGAAAGAGTACTTTGTTTTGAGCAAAACCCATCTCCTAAAATGTCTAGAAAACTCCATGGATTGGAGCAAAAAGATAGTAATTTGATATATCCACCCCCCTTATTGATATCCCCACCAATTCCATCTTCTTCTTCTTCTTCATCATCATCTATTGGCAGTATCAGTCCAGTGCTTCTTCTCGTTATAGTAATTGTAGCTGTTATGTTTTTCATCTATGGGTTTGCTCATTTGCTTTGGAGATGTCTCACAAAAAGGTCATCTTCCTCCTCAATCTTCCATTCCAATAGATACCCGGAAACCTCTGGCTCTCGAGCTATCCAAAGGCAGCTTCAACAGCTCTTTCGGCTTCACGATTCGGGCCTCGATCAAGCCGCCATTGATTCTCTCCCTGTGTTCTTCTGCAAGGACATTGTTGGTTCAAAGGAGGAGCCATTTGATTGTGCAGTTTGTCTGTGTGAGTTTTCTGACCAGGACAAGCTGAGGTTGCTTCCTGTGTGTGGCCATGCTTTCCACATTGATTGCATTGACACTTGGCTTCTCTCGAATTCGACGTGCCCCCTTTGTAGAGGAACGCTTTTGGGGTCTGGGATTTTGTTGGAGAATCCGGTGTTCGATTCCGGTGGTTCTAGGGAGATGTCAAATGCGGTTGTGAGTGATGGGGAGAACATGTGTTCGAGCGGTCGGAAAGGTTCGGTTATGGAGGAAAGTGTTGGTGAAAAGAGGGTTTTTTCTGTGAGGCTTGGGAAGTTCAAAAGCTTGAATGAAGGCGGAGAAAGTGGAGGGAAAGTGGGGGAAAGCAGTAGGTGTAATTTGGATGCTAGGAGATGTTACTCAATGGGTGCATATCAGTATGTGGTTGGCGATTCAATCTGCAAATCGCATTGTCCCATGATTGTGATGCCAAGCTTGCCAAAGAGGGAGTTGGTAATGGGAGCTTCTCAGTTACTGGGAATTTGGAAGGGAAGAAAATCAGTGGCAGGCATAAAGGTGAGAGCTTCTCGGTTTCGAAGATTTGGCTTTGGTCTGCAAAGAACAGATTCCCGGGTTCTTCGAATGCTCAAACCGGTTTGCCTCCTTTTCGTGTAATTTCTCCCATCAATGCTGAAACATGAAATGTACAATTAAGCTTAGTACTGGTAGTAGTTACGATTTTCGCCATCTCGTTGTACAACGAATGCTTAATTGTAAGTTAAATTTAGCAAGGGTTTTGTTCAGTAGCGGTGTTAGGAATTTGTACCAGTTTCTAAGTGTTTGGATTCCAGACCAGGATACAGAAAACGGGACTTGCATAATCTGAAAACTAAAGCCTCATTTCTTTAGCAATTGAGAAAAGCGTTTCTTTTCGAAAGCAAGAGCCCTTTCTTCATAAGCAAGAAACATGCACATAGACCATAATCAAAGTATCAAACACAAGAAAGAGGCAGATGATCAGTGCTTTTGCTACTTCGTTCTGCAGCAATCTAATCGTGATCAAGAAGCACTTTTCAAAAGGATCGCGAGAAGCATATAGCCGAAGGTGATTCCTTTTCCCTTTTTTATGGGGAAAATGGTATCAAATTCATCATTTTCTGTCGAATGGACCAAAAACCTCAGGAAAATGGTACAGAAACCTTATTGTTCTGTAACTATATGCTTTCCATGGGGATTATATACACATGGAGATAAAAGTGTTTGCAATCGATAAACGAGTCCAAGAATGTTTTTCGGTTGTTGCAATTTGCAAAGATGATATGAGCATATATCCAAGACTTTTCCTTCCTAAGGACAAGATGAAGCTCGCTCGATACTTTGCCTAGTTGTTGTTGGCTACCTACCGTCTCTCACCTTCTCTAAGGTATTTTGTCAAGCCTCTCGTCCCATAGTAGCCATACTGCATACTCTCGCTTCTACTCAGCCTCGTCCTCGTTGAGGCATTTTGTCAAGCATCTCATGCTATACTAATCATACGCAATGAGAATATTAATTAAACATTACACCATTCATATGCATAACATAATCGCTGCGGAAAAGCTTCTGGAAAAATCAATGGGCTACCCTTATGTTTGGTTTGAAGTTTTTGGGCTATATACAAGCAAGGCCCAAATTTTATTTATTTCCTTGAAACGAGTCGTTTTTCTCCCCCTCCGCCTTCCTTTTCCCTCTATTTCTCTCACAGCCAGTCAGTATCCGAGTCCTCTCTCCGTCGTTCTCTCTCTCTCTCTAGAAATGGGGTGGCTGAGCGATCCACAGCGCGAGCCTTGAGACACGAACATTCCCCAAAAACTGTCACAGCCCAAGATTAGGTCCCATCCCATGTATTAAGATGGTTCTTTGATTGACATAGTCCTATGAGTGCTGCAATATAATTAAAGCCCAGAATACAACATTGTCAAACACAAAGCCGCCTCGCACTTTTCCTAGTACAATGGAAAGTGACAACCGACAGAGCCATTGAATAATCCAAACACAATAAATACAGCAAAATAGTTTGATGTCTGCTAAAGCCCAGAACACCAGTAACCTTAAAAACAGCCCAAAAGCAAGAATCTTTCCAATTTGGTGCAAAAATTAAGGCAACCCAACTGAGAAAAAACATGAATTTTAACAAAAAGCAATAGATCAACGCACGAAGAAATAGATCAAAGTGTGAGAGAAACAACATACCCAGGGTTGAAACCTGAGGTTGAAGAAGGAGGAGCTGGCAGACAAACACGAAATGCAATAAGAACCCAGCATAATCACTCTCCCATCCCCAAATTTAAAAATCCAAACAAATAAATAACGAAATTTTAGACAAGAGAAGCTTACCAGAGGACGGACGAGAGCCGGAGAACGCTACCTGGAGAACGAGAGAGATAGCTAGGATTGAAGCTTTCTGGTTCGGGCTTTGCAAGAGCATGCTGAATGCGAGAGGGATGCTGAAAGTGTGAGGAAAGGAGGGCAATTTTGGGGTTATTGAAAAATTCATTAAAGAATCTACTGTTCATCCGTGTTTTTCAATAAGCTGGTTTTTGGAAGCTGCTATTTGCAGCTTTAGGATTTGAGCTTATTTTCATCCAAAACTTTGAAATAAAGTTGATTTAGAGAGTTTACCAAATATCAAAAACTCCCCCAATTTTTTTTGATATCCATTTTTTTTTAAATCACTAATCCCAAACCAGGGCTAATTTTAGAAAAGCGACATTATTTATTTATTTTTCTTAGCAAGCAAGTTGACACTAAATTACAATGCCAGGAAGGGTAGTCTTGTCCTCTAATAATAAAATTAATTTGTATTTAGCAAAATTGCAAAACAATAATATAAAAAATATTTATTAATTTCTAGGAAATCCTCCAAAATCTGCACGATATTCATCAACCGGTTTCATATTAATTTGACAATCCTTCATAGTATCTGACAATTCTATACACCCAGCAACGGAGGCAGATTATCTGCCCTCATTTGGATGACATTCTCATTTCTTCTTATTTTATGCTATCACAGTTAAACCATGTTAACATTTTATATTAATTTTTTTATAAGATAATAAGATAAAAAACAATAAAAATATAAAATATTAACGTATTTTAACCGTGATCTCACAAATAAAAGAAGATGAAAAGATTGTCCAAACAAAAGAGTAGACAATCTACCTTCCCCAGCAACAACCACAGTCCATACAAAACAAAACAAACAAAATAAATAAATAAATAAAATACTACAACGAGATCAACCAAAACGATAAATAAAAAACGGCGGCGCCACGTCAACATCACGGTCAAACTTTCCATCTTCCGAGCCAGGTCACTGACTAGCCATTCCAGCTAAATCATAGATTTTCACAAAACATACCCCCCGGGCGCACGATTGCCGTCGCGGCGCAATTTCTTCACCCGTACACCGCCACGTCTGTGCCCGATTCCGTCGAACCCCCGGACTTTGCCGGTTGATGAAACGAGGCGTACCGGACCGAGAAATTCCGGAACCCCACGACTTCGTCGTCTTCGTCGACCGGGCCCTCGTCGAAGTTCAGAGCGTAACTCAAGGGATCGTATTGGAATTTCCCGTGATTGCTGGCGCAGGCCGCACGGCCTATGCTTCTGCTTCTGTTGAATCGGCGGATGAAAGTCTTCCACCTGGGGCCGGCGACGATCTCGGACCACTCTCGAAGCTTGTACAAGGCTCTGATGCCTCGGGACCACCACCGTTCGTCGTTTTGGAAGGTCCGCATCCGCGACCACGACGACGGAAGACAGAAGCAGCAGCGCGAACTTGTTCCTCCATGGCCTATTGACTCCATGTCAATGTCCTCCATGACTATCGAAGAGAGAGAGAGAGGGGCTTTGGAAAACCCCCAATTGAGAAATTTCGTCGCTCTCTGCGAAACGGGGTGTTTATACAGGTGCCGTTGAGAAACGGAAGTTTGTAACGGAAGCATGAGGTGACCGAGGACTGCCGGTGACCATTCTGACTTTTCTGTGCACGGAACGACCTGTCGTGTGGTGAGGTTCCAGTTGTGCCTTACCATTATGATTTTTTCCAGTTGTGCCTTACCATTATGATTTTTTTTAATCTGATTTGACGTAACGATAATTATCAACTATTATATGTTCAAGAGTGGAGTAACCTAACTCACGGGCATAAATGGGGAAAAAAATGTTCATGCTTACTTAGAATGAAAGTGAAATCCTATAAAACTAGTCTTCGATTTATAGAATTTTATATTATGATTCATATTATAAATTATTTTATAAAGATTGCTTTTACAAAAAGTCAATTAAAATTAAGTTTATTTAATCATCGAACTGTATAAAAATAGATGAACGAATTAGTGAAAATATTACGAAAACCGTCTATGTATTTGTTACAATCGATTGACTAAACAACTGTAGATGATTCCACCAAATCCAATCCTTCAAGAGCGGGGGATAGCAACCAAAGGAAATCGTTTGCAAGGCTAGCTGGTTAAATTGATAAGTCGTGTAACAATCAATCTTTGTTCCTTTTGCCTTGATGCCTTCGTCTTTCAGCTTTAGGACTAGCTCAGTCTTCCTTAATAAACAGGTATTCAATGAGCGACTCTGCAAAAGCGAGGGAAGCTCATGCCTTACCTTAAGTTTCTCATCAAGTTGCAAATATATTTTGATAATCTGATTTATAATATGAACGATTTATAATCTCAAAATTCTATGATTCGAACGCAAAATGCTTTAAGTAGAAATTCACAGAGCTTTAAGTAGAAATTCCGTCTCGTTCTTAAGTAATAAACAAGGATGCTGCTGTTGTGGGTGACGCTTGGGGTAGGAACGTGCGGGTCCCAATTAGGTGAACTGACGAGAAACTTAGATTAAAAAAAAAAAAAAGATGAACGGTGGTGATTAGGCATGATCAATTCCAGTGCTGCCATAGACCAATCATTCTATCTTTTTTTGTTCTTCATCCTTTTATTCTTTCCGTTTTAGTATTATGATGAGCGTGTTAAATACGTGTATGTATTCTAGTTAATTTCTAAATTAATATGGTTATTAACCTCTTGAATACGACAACATATTTACACTAAGATCATTTCCAACCCATGGTATAAAACTTAAAATATAAGCTTTAAAACCCTTCCAAACCATCTTTAGTTATGGGCTAAAATAAGTCATGGGGAGAAAATAAATTTCTGGGCTAGATTCTTCCCAGGATTTAAGTATGGCTTAAATTATTCTAGATCCACCAAACTGTTATATTTCAAACATTTTTTTGTTTTTTACTTATAATCTAACGGTTATGATAAAATGAGATCAAATATAATAGTAAAAAAAAAAGATTTGACAGCCCAAAATTAAATCTAACGTCTAAAATAATTTAAGAAAATTATTTAAATCAAATTTAACTTAAAACTTTATAAGTACTTATGTATTTGTATGATTTTTAATTATTTATCGAAATTTAAATATTTTTAGACTAAAATGTTCATAAAAACAAATTAAGATAATCTACATAAATTTTATTTTAAAAAAAAGTTACTGAAAACAAAAAGTTAGGCCAAAATCATTATTTAATCTTCACGGGCTAACATTTTAAGCCACAAGGGTTGGAGGAGAAAAATAGTTTCTGGCTTATGGCTTAAAATTTTATGACTCAAAAATGTTGGAGATCGTCTAAGGAGTGAAGAAATAAATTGGTTGTGAACCCTCCATTCTCGGGATTCAAACATAATACTCCTCTTCATTTACAAGTGAAGAAAAAATACCACTAAATCTAATACTAAATAGCTGGTTATAAATCTTTAGCAAAGAAAATAACTCTGAGGCCTGTTAAACTAGAAGAAACTTTAGGACGCTAGTCTTACAAAGGCGAGTATATAACTAAATACAATAGGGCTCATTTCTTTGTGAGCGTCCGATCATTTAGTTGATCAGTCTGTTGTCCCCAAACTTTTTTGTCACTCAACAAACAATAAACCGTACATGTACCACAATTTAGTGCCTCTGTATTATTTGTTTAAGGTCTTTGATTTTTGAGTAAAAGTTTATATTTATGAACATGAGAGTAGGAAAAAAGTAAACACATTGGCACCAACCATATTGGTTGAGAGAATTTGAGGTAAAGCTTATGGAGAAGGACAAATTGGCCACTGAGGCCAACTGAAAACGACATCAGTAAAGCCTCTTAGCTTAAAACGACCAGAGGGAATCAAAAATATTATGCCACATACGACATATTCAAAGTACGAAAAATCTTATGCGAACAGGTGCGTGAAAGGCTATAAAGGCTAAAAGTCAACTCTGATGAGTTCTAACTTCTAATCCATCACATTTTCCAAGCCTGTGAATCATAAGAGATTTGGAGCCGAAAAGGTAATGCATGAACACGGAAAGAACTTGGAGAGATTACACAACTGAATCAATCCAGTCACTTCGCGCCGGAGTTGATGCTGCAGCAGCACAGATTTTATCGGAAAAAGATGTACCGGCATGACACTGACATTTCGTGCCGGGATTTGATGTAGTAGCCGCACAGTTTTTATCGGGAAAAGATGTACCGGCATGACACTGAGTGGTTAAGTGAACAACATCAACAATGCATAATTCGAATGGCTATATAAATCATAAAACGTCATTGCACTTTGTTTTGTGCCAAGTCTTTCGTGATGCTAGACCTAGGCCATGATAATCACTTTTTGATACTCCACCACCCACCCACCCCCCCCGCGGGGGGCGCGTGTGGGGGGGCGGCAGGATCAAGAACGGCTCAAACAAAGTTGTATCATAATAAGTGTCCACTATACATAATCAGGTAAGGTAAGATCAGAACCAGTGCACTTCCAAAACAAGCATTTCCGGTGGTCGAGCAATCCAATAGTGGTTTTAAGAGAGACTACCGTGCTCCACGATAAGCGCTTGTTTATCTGAATTCTAACTTTAGCTTGTATTGCTCGACTTGCTCACTACTCAAACTATCGAGTATTGAAAAACGTAGTTCATTAAGTAAAAAGCAAAAATCGAAACACTTTAGTGATATGATGCAACATGTACCAAAGACGAATATAACAAGAGGCAATTTCTACTAGCCCTCTATGGCGAATTGAAGTCCCGTTGTTTTGTTTAAGATTTCAATCAAGGAAAAAAAAATGAAATTTGGCAAAATTGGCGCTTTTGTCAAGCGGTAATCAAGTGGAGGGCAAATTCTAGTATTCGCTCGTCAGATTTGTCGGATTCACGTAATTGTGCAGTCACACATGAAGAACACAGCTATCCTTTCAGGGGATGATTCGAACCCAAAAATTCTCAAGCCAACATACTAAGGCTTTTCCACAATAATTTGAATGAGATTCTAAGCAATCTACTTGAAAAAACCACACCCCCCCCCCCCCCCCCCCCCGGGGGCGGGTAAAACGACACAAAACTGAAACTACCTCACGGCCTGAATGCATGGTTCCCGCTCCGAACCTGGATGACTTCATTTCCTGTGAAAGCTCCTAAAAACGACATAAACTACAAGTGTAATTTGGGACTGTAAATTACAATTTACTCACTTCCATCTCCGTTCAGAACGTGAGGAGTATTTGCCAGAGACAACTTGCAGTAAAAACTATGAATTCACAAAGAAAAGAATCGAGTATCATGTAAGTACAAAGCCACTTCAAATTTACAAACAAATGATGCCCCTTGTATCTATATGTAAAAACTACTATTGATGAAATAGAAAACAAGTTTTAACCTGTGAACTACGAAGTAAATCCCATCTAGTTGACGACAAATTTTTCAGTATGCCGGAAACACGGCCTGGTACACAAAGTGACATAATATAATTAGTTGGAAGTTTTCTTTTTCAAGTTTCCAACCAATTATAGTCTTACACTTTGTATACCTGACCATGTTCCCGGCACACTGAAGAATTTCTCCTTGTTGACATCGCCACCGCATAATCCATTCGTAACCATTGACATCTCCAAATCCGCAGTCAGCCTTTTGTGATCATCGTTCTCTTTGAAAGAAACACCCAGAGCAGCATCATGTCCGGCTTTCCACCATGCAAAGAATAGGTTAGTGTATCAAAGCATAAAGAGTTAATCCGCGATTCCTTTGTGTATACTTGTATCATCAGAAGAAAAGCATCCGTCGATGTTCTTCACTACCCTAGGCACGCTGATGAACAGTGGCAGCTCATTCATCTAAGATAATATTCTCGAACGGGACTTGAATTTCCCCACCGCACCTTGGCTTGAGACTTGAATCGGTTGTCAGGCCTTTAAGCAATGTGACGACATCCGCTGTATCATCAAGGTAGTACCTGGCTTTACTAGGTTTTTGTCCGACAGTGCATGCAAAGATCTCAGGTGCTGCAACTTGAGATGAACTATACGTTGTGCAGCTTGTGCTCGATATGCTTTCAAACATGTCCTCGTCTGATCTATCATCCCCGATGCACAGCACAAAATCTGGCGCATTCCCATTACCGATCATCGTGGAAAGAACTTTCTGTGCAACTAAACCTTTAGTAACTCCCTGCAGTTTAAGAAGCCACAAGACATCCTTTAGGCCACAATACAAACAGAGAGATGCAAAAGTGAGGAAGAACATTGAGAACGTATATACCTGTGGCTTTACTTCGACAATATGCTGGCCCCTTTTAACAACTACAGGCTCATTCGCAAGTACATTTTCAAGATGATCCAGCAACTCCATGGCCTGGCACGATCCAAAATCAGGATCAGCATCTAGATGGTGCCAAACCAAGGCGCTCTCCTTACTCTCTATGTAGGAGCCATCGGTCGCTTCTGTATATAACTTCATCACAGGTTCTGCAATTTGCTTCCAATCAAGA